CCGATAAAACAGAAATAACTTGCATTTATGTTATATTGTATGGGTAGGTGTTATATGTTCCGGAAAATGTTCAAATATGCAATACAAATGAAAAAAATGTACTTTCAAAAATTCGACTTTATATGGGTAAATTATGTATATTTATAGTATTAAATCATATTTATAAATAGTGTGTTTAAAAGTTTTATACAATGTTTTTAATTTTGTTCGATAGTAGGTATATTCTCGAGTAAAACGTAAAAGTTAGATACTGGCCGGTCTGCCACTATTAGAACAACTTGAAAAGGTATAATATATAATATAGAGTAATTAAATTTTTATCTGTTGGCAATGATAAATCAATGTTAATGGAACGCGATTCTTAACGAAATTCAATTAAACGTGATAATAAGAGATACCGTGATTCTTATGATTTTTACATCAACATTTTAACTTAAAACTCTTATAAATACAAAACCAGAGGCTCAAATATATACTTTTTCGTACTAGATACCTTATATCAAAATTATACCATATTATTGATATTTTCAACCCCCTCTCCACTAATGACATAATTTCAGTTTTTGAGGGGGGGAATTGACAAAAACGCTGCTCATTTCGCTCGCTAACTAATTTCAGTTTACAGTTTACATTTTTATCTATTTTTTATCATATAAGGACAAATAGCAAACTAAATAATATAATACCTACCTTAGAGATGTTATTTTAGTTTCTGAACGTAGTGAGAAATGTATCGGTTTTACAACGATGTTTATTTATTTATTTTTTTATCTGTGAATCACTTTTCTACCAACAATTTTACTCTCATTTATAAAAAGATAGCACTTTTTCTAAAAGAAAATTTTCCTGGGGTGGCACTTTAAGTAGGTAATTTTTTGATTGCCTTAAGAAATTTCCCAAAAAATGAGGAAAACATGTGAAAAACGGGAATAACGTAGAAAAAACAGGAAAATTAGTACAATAGTAAACAAATATTATTAAAGAAAGTATATGATGCTCATGTTACCATAATGACATATATATTGTTGACAAAGAAACACTATCAACTGAACTACGCTCAGAATCGTTTTTTCGTTAGGAATGGTTAATCGTTGCGTACAGGTATACATTGAATTTCTCCTCTACACCTTCTCAACATTTTACCTACCTCAGTGACCCATCCACGTGTAAAATATAACCGTCTTTTTGTTTTGTATATTAACTCAAAATAATTTTAAAAAATACATAACTAAAACATTCCTGATATTATGAATATAATAAATATTAATTATACATATGATCAGTTTTGATTTTTTACTTTGATAATATTAACATAATATACATTATGGTTAGCTTAGTTAATGTATTATCCATGAATTAAACATCGAAAATAAAAATCCTTTTAATCTATTCTGTGTCTTTATTATCTTTGAAATACTTATGTGATAACTGTCAATTTTTTTACGAATAAACTTGTTATTTAAAATTTTAATAATGATATATTTTTAGAATGTTTTTTTCCACATAATAGTTCAGTGCGTACAAAAATGTAAAAATTAAAAACGAATACAAATTAATATTAATAAATTCGAAATTAATAAGGTCATTCGAATGTCTCCACTATATTATATTATTATTATAAACACTTTATATAATAGTCGACTGTTCCTACTGTTTCCATTATTGTAATGAGTGTATCGTAATTATTATTATTATTATTATTATTATTATTATTGTTGTTGTTGTTGTTGTTGATAATCAAACGCACCCAGTTCAGTTTTCTGCAATCTAAGATGCTTCGAACCCGTTCTGTATACAGTGAAGTTTGCTTTAATTACCAAAATATCTATTATTACATATGTTCGTAAAGAGTCCTTATAAGACTCTAATAAGAGTTATAAGTTTGAAACTCTATAAGCCATTTAAAACGTGGTATTTAGTTTATAATAATTAGCAATATTTTTTTCATGTCATATAATATTATGTTAATAATAAAGATTCAAATAAATTGTCTAATCCAGAATCTAGATATTTTTTTTTTGTTCATAAACAATTTATTGGTTAGTTCAATCTTAGCTATTTTCAATATTTAATTTGCTTTTATTGAAAACTATATATACAATTTGCATAAGTTATTTTTTCTGGGGTCAAATATTTGAAATTTTGTTAAGTATTTTACATACATTTTATTTTGATAAAATAACCAATAACATTGATGTGTACGCTGTTTCCTAACAATACATTTCTTACATCATTCCCAACTAATATTATTATGATGTGTATTTATGTTAGTTGTAGAGGTTAAAAATTTAATTTCGTTTTTATATTTGTCTCACCTTAAACGTAGTTGGTATTATTATTATTTTGTTTTTGGTCCGTAAGAAAAAAAATTAAGAAAATTCCTAGGAAAATCAAAAAACAACCGCCCTAAAGTACCTCTCCAATCAGATTTAGAAAAAGTGCTATCATTATAAATCGGAGCAAAATAATTACTGGTATAAAAGTTGTCCACATAAAAAAAATTAAAACAAGCATCATTGTAAAACCAATATTGTATCCTCGCACACTTAGAATCTAAAATAACTTCTATAATTAAGCGGCATTCTAATGTATGTAGTAGCGTTTAATAAATCATTTTTAAATTTCTAGACATTTTTACTTGAAAACTCGGTTTGTATATAATATTTTTGTGGGCTCAATAATACATTAAACTCATTGATGTACTCGGAATTAAGTCGTATACGGTTCTAGCAATATATATAATGTACAAGATTGCCGCTTCGGAAATCCGCATCGATTCGGAAAGTCGATTTCAATACTATATATATAAACATTTCCACGCAACGTTTTCCGGCGCTTCCGGCAATGATTAAACGGACGAGGAAACTATTTGGACGTATTTGCGACTTTTCCCCCTCATATATAATATACGAATCGGAAAGAGCGCGGATTTAAACGAATCAAGACAAATCCGTCTTTTTTTTTTTTTTTTAACTGGATGGGACGAATTAGTGTCTGCGCACGCCGCCGCCGCTGTTGCTGTGCGGCAGTAAGTGATTTATCAGAGTTTCTCCATCGGTCATTTAGTTTTAGGGCGGATAAAGTTTAAATGAAAAAAAAAAAAAATGAATTTGGAGAGTTCCCGTAACGGTGCGAAACACGGTAAAACAGTACCCACGTATAGGGACGTGTTAATTTGACATTGCTTTTAAAACTTTCCCAAATGTCGGACACTTCGTGCAGTAGTTATTATTAGGTCACCGCAGGTAAAACACAAACTGTTGATTTGTCAATGGGCTATCTCGGCTACTGCTGCAGCGATATATATCGAGACATTACGGATTACCCCCGAGACGGATTTTATTTTTATTTTTTTTACCATGATATAAGTCAAATAATATTCTATTATAATTCTATTATTATATTATAATAAACTTCCAGAAGAGCTAGTATTGGTGAACAATTTAACATTTTTAAATTAAAATTACAAAATTGGCCTATGCAACAAACTGGAGATCTAATAAAAATATTTTCTTAACTACGTCACAATGTTATTTTGTAAGTATATTAATAATTGCTTTCCCTTATGTATTTTCTCATAGTATGTTTACTTTGTTTTTTTTTTTTTTTATTTCCGTTGCTTTTCATTTTTTGTGTTCTCTAACATGAGTACTTTTTATCATTAAGTCTGTTATTAACTAACTATAAGAAAAAAATTAAAAAAATTGTAAGATAAGCTCTCATGGGCTTTCACGCGAGCATGCTCAGTTAGGTCCATTATTCTTTGGAATAAACGCTAACAATAATTATTATTATGTAGTGTAAATAATATATAGTGTGTCCAAAAATTCTTGTGTTTGGCCTAATATATACAGAATGACTTAAATAATATAAAAAGTAATATAGGTATCATTTTTAAAGACAGTTCCGTACATATAAAGTGAATCATAGGAATAGGGACAAGAATTAACGGGTTTTTTTCCACACAGGATAAGAACCCATTCAATCCGTCAGATTATACCGCCATAGTTATCACCATGAAGATGTGATAGTGTGTTATTCACAATGCTTTTTTCTACACAATAAATCTAAAACGAAAGAATATGTCTCAGAATTTTCCGTAGATATGCTTTATCTGGGGCGAATCACGATATGCTGTTATTTATAAGGGATGAGACACACTTTCACCTCAGCGATTTTTCATACAGGCAAATCTGCCGCTATTATATGATGCAGATAATCTTGGAATCTCCACGAACGGCAGCTGCACAGCTCTGTTGACTGTTTGATTTCCATTTTCAAAGAAATTCACTACAAATACACAATTGTACTTATTTCGTGTTATGAACAAGACGAACGCGTGATGTACTCGATGTTCTTTTTAAAACTTGAAATGATACTTTTATTTCCTCACTAGAAAATATAAATCAAATTGTTGCACGTCTAAAATATCCTGAGTTATTTTTATTTGTTTCTGTCCATATTTCCGTGACCCAGCCTATATACAGACAACGTAGATTGACTATATATGCATTTAAGTACAACGAACTTAAACCTATAATAAAACTATACACCCGTAGGCCGGCCCGAAAGATATTTATGACCCGTGCAGTCGATCTTGACGTTGACTTTGAATTTATTTATTTTTTTGATTTTTCACCTTCTCATACCCGGTGTATATAAAATCTTTACTTTGTTTATTACTTTTAATTTATATTTTCCTAAATAATTATGTGAAATTATTATGAGCCATGATTGTGAAACGACGTGGAACTCTGTACGAGTGCACCGCCTTCAAGTCATCGCTCTGTTAATAATATATCACAGCCTAGGAATGACATTCTTGTATACATTTATAGTTTTGAGAAAAATAAATTCCTAATTTAAACCAAGAACAAATCATTTTTAAGTTCTTCCAGTGATACGAAACTTTTGTTTAACATTTTTATTGTGTATAGATTATTAGGCATTTCTAAAATATACGGTGACATAATATTATTGTACGTTTTGTTTTTGCAGTGATGAAAACCGAATATCATCACCATCATCACCCGCACCATCAGTCCGCTAACCCGGCGACGGTGGCCGCGTTCGGCGGGACGCCCGTGGCCATGATGTCTGCTGCCGCCGGTGGCCAGGGGCTAATGTCTGGGGTGGACGCGGTACGAAACGGTGGCGGCGACGGCGGCGGTACCGGATCGCAGCAGCTGAACATGTTGAACCAGTCGCCGGTGGTGACCAGGTCGCAGATGAATAGTAGCGCGGCCATGCTGTTGATGAATAACACGGGCCGGACGAATTTCACCAACAAGCAGCTGACTGAGCTGGAGAAGGAGTTCCACTTCAACCGGTACCTGACCCGGGCGAGGCGGATCGAGATAGCGTCCGCGCTCCAGCTGAATGAGACCCAGGTGAAGATATGGTTCCAGAACAGACGGATGAAGCAGAAGAAACGGCAGCGGGAGGGATTGCTGCCCGTGGCGCAGCAGCACCAACAGGAAATTCACCTGAGTGGCGCGAGCAGCACGAGCAACTCGCCGACCGCCTCGTCCAACGTGTAAAATATATGTGTGTATAATAATAATAATAACAACAATATTTTGTATTTCTTATCAGTTATCGCCTAATATCGTTTATGTTAATATTTCACATATCGTACGACGGCTCGTCTGTGATCCGAAATTGTGGACAGACACCATGTACTAATATAGATCATTAATCCAATTCAATCGTAGGTACTGATTGATGTAGTTTGATAATATAATTGGTTGATAAATATTCTGAAAACGCATATTTTAATTAACGATTTTTAACTCCTTTAAAAATTTGAAATATGAAAAATAATTTGTTGTTCTTTTCGGGTATGGTGAGATTTAAAGAGATCAAATATAAAATCCGAGAAAGTCGATCTCGACGATGGATTTTGACTTCAGAAATGTGTGTTTGTGTATGTGAAATATCATGTTTTTAGAATATTTATATCACTAAAAATTATGAAAAAAAGCAATATCTTTATCAATGACAAATGGAAAAAAAAAAAAAAATGTATAATCTGGACCAAGGTGGGCCGATTTATTTTGTATCGCTTGCCGCAACAAAAAAGGTTGTATATAATTTTTTCCTACTTCTGATCTACAATCTCTTTAGATGACACTAGAGTGATATGAATTTTTTCATTGGCGACGCTGAAAAAAGATATAGCTTCGATATAGACAATCGAGATACGACCTATTTTGTTGCGGCAGAAGATATGTGCCGTACCTATCTGTGTATTTTATTTGGAGATAGCTATCGTTTAATGAAAAAAATATACAAGTCTGCTGGTTTAGATAAGCCATTGTACAGAATCTTTCAAATTGCATGTTACCGTCAAATTGTCTATGAATTACTCATGTTCACAATAAATACTCATTTAAAAACTTTATATAATCATATACTCTAAAATTGTATATTGTCTTTGTTTCTGGGTTTGAATAAGCTACCTATTTTTGATTTTCAAATTAATAACCTATAAATAACTTAAAAATTCTATAAATAGACAGGGAATTAGTTTAAATACATTTTGATGTTGACATTTTTGATTTCCGTCAATCAGAGAAGGTAAGGGGAGAGTAACGGAGTACTGTTCAAACGCTTTGCGCTGAGTTGCTACACCAATGATGCTCCACTACACTTCCCTTGTTCGTACTTAAAAATGGAATATTTAAATCATTTTTTTGAATAAATATGTACTTCATGGAATATTTAATTTTAACATGGAATTTGGAACACCCAATATATTGTCGGATTTTCACGATGTACGATGAGATGTATGATGTGCAGTGTACCCAACTATCTTGTCGTTCAAATCTAAACGTCAAAAATATACGCACTCCAAATCGAATAAACAATTGTTTATTCTCCAATGAACTTACATAGGTATCAATATAATATTATGTACGCATGTTATATGAAACGTTGCGTTTTCGTTTAGTTCCTAATATTTGTAATAAACCTTACTATATATTTATATACATATTTATAAAGTAATTAATATTTTATATTATTAATTATACGAATATACTACGGTAAAATACGTTTAACTATAGTTATATACAATATAAATTGTGAATAAATACATTTATCGTGACTCTATACAATAGTATTACGTGTCGTTTAGCGTACGAGTTTCGACGGTTAATTATTATGTTTTTTTTTTTTTTTTTTATCATTATTATGTAATTTTATTTTGTTGCTGTTTCTATGGTCGTGATTCGCTGTGATTTAAAACACACTATTATATGGTTATACCGCTCTGTACTGTTTGTCCGTGAAAAATGTTTGTAGATACATAATTTATATTGTGAAAATTGTATAGGTACATATATTATATTATTAACTAGCGTGTTAAAAAAATAAAATAAAAATATTGTACTTATATAATTAAATATATCTATCTCTATATATATATTGGCTACTTCAATATTCCGAATCGTGTACAAAATATTATTAAATTATGTATTGTTGTAGTGTGCGTATTATAGACGGATGTGTAAATTTAAAATCTAAATTTAAGGGCAAACAAACCATTCATACATCTTTCATGTTTTTCTTCACGACAACGACCCTGTGGAAGTGTTTCTCGGGACTCAGGACACCTTCTGAAACATCAAGTGTATGCAATATTTAGTAGCCTTTGAAAAATAATTTAATTTCTATTTGTATATTGTAACTCGAAATTTATTTTAAATTTAAATTAGACTACGTTTCTGGGAGTCGTGTTTATATGTTTGATCCAAACGCACTCACGGTTCGATCGCTTATATTAGAAGCCTCTTTATAAATGCGCCGGTCGGGAGACATATTTACGGAGCCCCAAGTCGAAACGTAACTGAGTTGCAGGTTTTAACAGTTTTAGGAGCCATTAAAAAAACGTAATATGCTTATGGGTCCAAAACAAGTCCCCGGTATAAACTTAATACCTAGGCCCTAGACGGCGATATACCGCGACGCGTTACCGACGACAAATCGCTCGGACCGAATTCACGGATAGGGTTTGTAAATACGGCGCCGGAATGAGGTGGTGCCGCACCGAGAAAAATAAAATAATATGACGTGATGATCGCGCGGTAACAATTTGAACGGATCGAAAAATACGGGGAATATTGTTTCCGTGAAAAAAAAAATAACAGCGCCGGATCGACGTCAGCTAGATCCCGTTATACGTGCGACGGGCCAATGGCGTAACGAACGGCAAAGGGACGGTGCGCACAATGGAGAGAGAGCCGTCGCGGTTATCGCGAAGTGAAAAACTCGTAGTATAGTATTTTTTGGTTTTTTTTTGTTTTGTTTTGTTTTGTTTTTGTCCCTCTATCGTCGTCGGGGCGGCAGGTGGGACTGGCGGGTAGAAGTTATGGGCGGGGGGGGAACACCGCATCGCACAAAAGGGACCGGACATTTTAATCTACCATTATGTGTCCCTGTCTGCGATGGTACACGACTTTATTCTCGCGCGCGCGCGCGTCCGTCATGTATGCGCGCGCGTGCGTGTGCGTGTGTGTGTATGAAACGTGAAGTGAGAGAGAGAGCTGATGCGTAGTGGCGATGACGGGGTGGCGAGAGAGCCGAGTGCGTGTGCTTGTGCCGGGCGCAGAGTGTGTGGAAGTGAAACACTCATACGGAGTATTAAAAAAAAAAAAAAAAAAAGTAAAAATAACACAATGGGGGTCCGCCGGTCACGACGTTGGCGGGGGGGAGGAGGAGGCGGTGTCTGCAGTGAGTGGCAGTCGGCTGATAATAATGATGGATTACGAGCGCGGCCCTGCGGCAGTTTCCCCCCTGGGGGCGACCCGGCGGCGCGCACGGATGAGGGCGAAACGGTGGCGAAAACCCGCTGCACGGGGCCCTCCACTCCCGTGTAGCCACGTCGAAAACGCTCCGTAACTTTTACGCGTACCCCCCCCCCCCCCCNCCCCCCCCCACCGGTCCCGTCCCGGCGTACCTATATATATATATAAATTATTATACGCGTATATATAGGTATACCCGGTATAAACCGCGTGTTACCGCGCGTGATATTACCTCGCCGTTATTATTACCGTGTACGCGCCAAGATTTTTTCGGTTATGTCATTTAGCCCCTCCCCGCCACCGCCGTGTCGTTATATTATATTATTATTATTATTATTATTCCGCGGCGTGTTATTCATCATGAATGTTATTCACACCGTTTACGAGTTACGCCTATACACAATGTTATTATAATACCGCGGTAAGGGTGAGCCGGATGTGCGAAAAAACCGCGTATAATATTCGCGTGACGTTTTGCGAAATTCATACAAATTACGACCGTACGCGGTGTTTTTTTTTTTATATTTCTCGTTTCTCGAGCGCTTATACAGCGCTTGTGTGTCGCAGGGGAGAAAGCACCCCGAGCCGTTTTTCTGCAATTTCTTTTTCGTATAATTTTATATTACGCGATTTCCCCCCGCCGCACATCTTTCGGTCCGAGCGCCATACTTGTATGTGCTTTCAAATATTTAATTTGCACTTATCGAAAACTATACACGAAACTGACTCTTACTCCAGGGCCGAAGCTAAAACGTCACCAGTTGTTCATTTGAAAGGGTCGAAACAGCCGTTTGCTCTCCCCCTCCAGAACTTCTCTATACAAAGGTAAATTTATACGAAAAATAAATAAATATTAATAACGATTAAAGTTGGACGCACATCGTTATTTAGAATGGCAAAATCTGAAATGGCGCTAATTGGAACGAATAGAAAAACTAGAATGACAACATTTTAAGCTAATTTTTTTGTCACACAAAAATTTAAAAACACATGAGAAATTATCAGATAAAAAAAATCCAAGTAATATGCGTATTTCCCTTTAATTTTTAATGACCTATCGACCAGAAATCTTTTTCAAATGATCAGTACCAAGGGTAACTTTTGGTAGACAATTTTGTTTTATTGTTACATTAGACTAGAAAAAAGGATTTTAGTCCTTTTTTGATTTTTGTGTTGAAAGCCGGAAAACGAGAATATTTACGTAACCACGGTTTCTGTAAAAATCTATTTAGTTTTTTTTGCTGTAATTCAATGAAAAGTTTTTCTAGTGATGTGACATTTTCTCCGGAAGTTTATATTAGTACCCTTTAGACGTGGTTCAATTTCGAAAAATATTCTGATATTGTTTAATTTATTTATTACCTTGTAAATATTTGAAATTGGGTAGTACTTCAGGGAGGTCATTTTTTGATTTTCCAATATTTTTCATAATAAATGGGAAAAACCGGGAAAAATTGTTGGGAAAACGGACAAATGTATGAATTGTATTATTTTCAAATCGTAAATATTACGGCCTTTCAAAACACGTGTAACCAGACTCCGCTCAGAGTCGTTTTTCGTTAGCAACGGTTGATCATTGCGTACAGATATAAATTAAACAACTTTATGTATCCCGCCTTATTACCAACTATATTCACCTACAACGGGTACTACGGGTGGCCGCACCCGTCCCTGGTGTGAGCTCTTTTTTTTTAAATTTCAAAAAATTTTTAGGAGTCTTCACACCCCTGGTATCTATGAAACGTATGTAGATTGTAGGTATCTATAAAAACGATATGTGCATAAATTATTATGTCACCCCCTTCCCGTCACTTAAATGTGTCTCTGATTGTCACGTACAATATTGTGCGATTAAAATAACGATTTCAGTAACGTATAACAATATGTATGTTGGTATATTGTATATTTAATACGCGGGCACATTTATTTTTAAAAACAAACGTAATCGCCGTAATTAACAGACGAGATGCGAAAAAATTGCGAGAAATCCGATCGTTCGGTCCGGTTCAGCACGCGTCGGCGCTAGATAGGTGCTATTGATTTTTTTTTTTATCGTTTCCCCCGGTTTAACGTTTTCTGTATTATCGACGACGATAAACGGAACGACCGGCGGTGCTCGTAGATTGTATGCAGCGGCCGTGTACAGTACGGTGTATAGTGTCGATTGTATTAATATTATTACAGTTTCGGTAAACGACGCACGACTGCCGCGCGGTAATTGTACCGATAGCGCGGGAGGGTTTAAACAGAGATGACGCGTTAATTGTAGCGATGTGTACACGCGATCGTGTAATAATAATAATAATAATAATAATAAACGATGCGTCTATGTATCTACGGACCGCGCTTTCTGTCGGTGACGTTCGAAATCCGTTTACAATATTGTACGCGTTTGACGGAGCAGACGTGGACAATGATGCGTATTAAACTATAATATTATTTGTTGCGCGCGTACGGTTCAAACGAGAAACGCCCGGGGCCGTTGCGCGCCGAAAAACCGAACGAACCTCGCCCGGCATTACAATGCTGTAACATTTACAGGAACTGTATCCCCGCGTGCAGTATGCGCGGACGTAAATCATATCGACGGTCGGCAATCGTTACAAAATCATAGTGCCGGCAATAAACAGATCAGAAAACATACGCGCCTTGAACGGGTGTGTAGATTTTCTAGGTTCTGGGCGTACCGAGCAAATGTATATATTGTAATCTTATACTATGGTTGTATGGTTTTTGTTTTTTTTTTTTTTTTTTTCATGTTCGAATCGGAATTTCGCCTGGGTCGTCAACCGAAGTGTTTGTCAGTTTCGGTGTGTACGGGTAGCCTCCAGATGAATCAATTGCACCGGATGATTTCTGACAAACTAAAACGTCATGTTTACATAGAGTGCGGCGGTTAAGCCGGGTTAGTTTAGGCGCCGTTCAAAAATGTGTAATAATTTAAACAAACACGACTGAACGAAAATTGTTTCACGGATTTATATAATAGACGGATATAATATTTCTCCGAATTGCATTTTATCCTCGAATAATTACGTAGTCTAATGCTAAAAAATAATGTTTTTCAAAACGTACCGTCGAGTAAAATGACTTGACGATCGATTTTTTAATATTGTTGTACGATACTTAAATCGCACCGGGGGGTATCTAAAACGTAAAAATAGACTGTTAGTTTAATCGAAACCTTAAGTCACCAAATGGCACGCATATTTGTAAATTGCTTATTTACCAAATGTATGTTAATACATATGTTAACCTAACCTCGGAATAGAAAATTTTGTTGCATTCGAATATTGATCAGC